AAAAAAAAAAAAGAATAGAAAGGCTGGAGGACCCACTACAAGGTCAGGAACCTTTTCACAGAAGGAGGTAGGAGTAGAAGGGGTTAGTGTCAACCAGTAATGAAGTTATGGCCCGTACCCCAGCTCTGATGCATAGATAAATAAATCTTTAAAAAAAAAAAAACAGGTTATGGGAATGAAGACCCTTAGGCCTCAAGGCTCAGATAGGTGTCAAACTGTTGCAGGGAGTGTCAAGAGCACAGACTTGAAGGTGAAGCTGTGGGGATTAAGAAACACATGATCCACTCACGAAGATGAGCCCCTCCCTACTGGAAGATGATAAACCCAGCACTGTCCCCGCTGAGGGGCCGCAGTCCTGCCCACCTGTGCCTATGCAGGTGCTTCTCCCTGCTCCTTCCTCTGCAGGGCAGCAACCTCCTGCCTGCTGGTGACCTGTGCATCCTGCCAGGGCTTCTCTACACGGTCTCCCTCAGCGGAGGCTGCTCGCAAGGCTACTCTCCTGCAATCACGCAGGCACCTCTCAACAAACCTGGCCCTTTCAAAGCAGTTCTTTCTTCCCACTTGCATTATGCAAGCGTCCTTCTCTTTTCTGTCCCTTTTTCTAATAAATCTTCTCCTTAAATATATCTGACATGTTTGTGTTGTGGAGAATTTTGTCACATACTGCTGAAAAGGCAGCTCTGGTGAATCCTTTCCCAGAATGAACCCAAGGATCCCAACACTTAACCTATAAGATCCAACTGTACTTCATATTTTTAAAAAGTTAAGCAGAGACATAAAAATATCCTTGAATTTCTAAAGATAAAAAATGCAGTGTCTGAGATTTAAAATATACCAGATGGGGTTAATGACTAGATAGTGCAAAAGAAAAAAGTTTGCTGATTTGAATGGAAGTCCTATCAGTAAAAACTAACAAAATGAAACAGAAGGTAAAATAATTTAAAATGGAATTAACAAATATCAGTGAGGTTACAGAGAAAAAGGACTCTCATCCACTGTTGGTGGGAATGCAAGCTGGTGCACCTCCTATAGAAAGTGGTATGGAGCTGTCTCAAGAAAATAAAAACCGAAATTCCACATGACCCAGCAATACTGCTATTAGG